GTTTTCCGGGGTTGCTTCAAGGTTTTGAAAAAAAACGAAAGTGACAGAATGGATATTAAGTAAGATACTCCGTTTTGATGTTCAGGGTATTATTTATAAGCATCAAATATGTCTACGCTGTGAGCATTTCTACGTTTGCCCCGCCAGTGCTCATCGAGAACGTTCTGAGCTGAGTGACATTTACTGTGCATTACGCATTTTTGTCAGCAAATAATGTATATATGCTATTGATTACGGTGTCGCTTGAAATGAAATAAAATAACATGAAAGCAATTATTACATATGTACTGCAGTTTATTTTGATTCGTCCCTGAAATCAAATTCGGTATTTCCACACCTCATATGCAAATGAGGTCTGGGAGCAAACAATGTAGTCCCTTCAGGAGTACCGTTTTTCGAAACCTAGCTGAAATAAACAATATTAAGAAGTACGATATTTTTCCCTTGGGGTACATGAATATACTTGCCGAGTGAAATGAAATTTGAACAACAGTAATGGTACTTTTAGCCAGTCAATTATTTTGACAAAAACTAATTTGCATATCACCCATGCAATAATGTTTTCGGTATTTTCACGGTCGATATGCAAATGAACATGGTATTTCCATCGGCTACCGAACTATTTTTATTTTGTAAACACATTTTCGTCTGCTATTTTTGTCCGGTTCAAATCGTCAGGCAACATTTTTGGCGTGTTAGGTGTACATCACATTGAATACTACGATTGAGAGAACTTAATGTATGTTGACCACCTGGAAACTGAGTTTTATAAACCTTGAAGGGCCCTCGGAAGATCCACCAGCAGTGAAATCAGCGATTACTATGCAGCCGCAACCACCAACATCGAGATACCAGGTTTCTGCTGGCGGCGTTGCGGCGTTACTCAATTCTAAATAAAAATTAGCAACAGTTTAACCGGTAACCAAGACTCAGTCAATCCACGACCAGCAAGCAACATCACACACGAAGTTGTAGCGTGCAGCTCAGCGACAACCGCTGTCGACGAAAGTCATCCCGTCAGTGGAGTACCGCAGTTGCACGGCATGTTTGCCAATGCACAATTCAGTGACGGAACTTTTAACTTCAACATGAACTGTGTAACATAGTCGTCTAGTTCAAGTTCGGGTTCTGTCGTGGTCCCAACTAAACGTCAACGAGTTATTTATTCGGACAGTGACTCAGATTAGACGTCTGATTATTTTAATTTCAAACAATCAGTGACACTCGTTCTCCGGGCGCGTTCTACACTGAAACGCGCTGCTGGGACGTAACACTATATTGGAACATATTAATGGGCAATAGGGTTCCCCGACCTAAATTCCATCCCGGTGTGTAGCACGTTCTTTCTTTAATATAAAATAATCAAATATGGAACATATGTAA